TATATATATATTAAAATTATTAAATTTTTAATAGAAGAGACTAAAATCGCACTATTATGATATTCGAGGACTAAAATTGTTCAATTAAAAATTGAAGGACCAAAATCGCACAATTGCAATTCTTTAGGGACTAAAATTACCCAATTAAAATCTTGGGAATCAAAACTGCACAATTTCAATACTTGAGCGATCAAAAATGTAATTAAGCCTAAATTTTAAAAGTAAGTTAAAGTAAGTGTGAAGAAGGTTTTACATTGGTTAGTGTTGGACATATGGAATAATATATAAATAAAAAAATTTCACCAACCTAATGCCTTAAGGTTTTGAGTTATGATGTGGTGTCAAACTTTTTTAAATAAAAATAAGTCATGCAAAGACATCACTATAGGTCTAAGACATCCCAACAATAGACACCTCAAAGACTATCAATCATTTGCAACATACTCAATAAAATATAATTAGAAAATATAAAAGACAAAAATGGGGGACTAGACCAAATTCCACAAGAGAAATTAACAAAAATGAAAGGAAGATAAATTATGACGATTCCTTAAAAAGCATCCCTAGAACAAACACGAAGAATATCTCACCATACAAAATCAACCCTAATAGTAAAGTCAAGACTCGCCATCCGATCAACACATTAACTTCCTTCTTTGTGTAAAGAAAAGAATCACATAGGTGTCAATAAGTGAAGACATCTAATCCATCTCCCTCTAAATTCCCAAGGAACAATTTTGGCATTATATAGAACAAGAAACACAAGTTTAGAATAACTTTCAAACCATAAATTAAATCACCCCTATCATAAGTTGTTTCAATTACAATTATGGTCACCACTACTTCAGCATAAAATGCAGCCTTGATATCAATATAGGTAGAAAATCTGTCCGAAAACTTCCCTTATATCATTTCTAAATATTCCAGCACCTACTACATGACCCGGACAACCAACAACTATCCCATCTGTGTTACATTTGACAAATCCACAAACTAGAGGATGTCAATCAACCTATATGATCCTTGGAGGCTTAGAGGGATGAATAATGTAGGAAAACTGCTTAAGCAAATGAACATCGGCTCGAGAATGAGAAATACAACTATTTATCAAAGTACCCGATTGATAACAAAAATATCTAATTGTATCAACAAAATAGCCTTCTCAACAGAAATAACTATATTATTAAAACGAACTTGATTTCTATAGTGCCAAAATATTGCTCATGTCACTGCACAAAAGTATAAGATAAAACATCTTTAACCTGCTCATACCATGTTTTATTTAAGGACATCATCATAGATACAACCAAAGAACAATCTAATGGATGATTAACAATATGTTGCAACCAAGACTATATTGAAATAGCAAATGCACAGTGGAGAAACAAATGATCTAAAGTCTCATTAGAGCAATCACATACGTTGCACATAAAAACCACTATCATACCTCTTAGCTGCAAATTGTCATTAGTGGAAACTTTACTATGTAACAAACACCAAACCAAATAGGCCGTAGAGGGAGGAATAGCTATCAACCATATCACTGAGGCCCAAGGTTGTTGCTATAGCCTAGTTTGAAGAAAATGATAAGCCTCATGGAAATTAAAGACCCTACTATTAGAGTGCTTTCAAATATGTTCATCTTCTTACTAAGGCCAATATGGGGTGCATAGTATATCCACATAAACTCACTTATATAATTTACTTACTATACACTTATGGAGTGTTGCCCAATGTAAAATTTTCTAACAATGTCGATGAAATACACATACTAAAATATTAGTGTTATAAATAAATATGCAATTCATGACTATTATGTGGATATAGGAAAGCTACTCTCCCGGGTATGACAAACCTTTTGTATCGAGGAACACTGCTCATGCAGCCGAAGACATCCTTAAAATGTGACGAATGGAAAAAGGCAAAACTCACCCAAAATTATTGCCCACACTCCACACCTTAGATACAACACCAATTGGTTCCCTGTCTTGAAGGTTACTTCAAATGTGACATTGATGCTCCATTCTTCTCCGAAAAGGCGTAAACAAAAGTTTTGGGATAGGTACATGCTTAAGATATATATAGTAATTGCCATTTTGTGAAAGCCTTCTCGAACACAAGCTTTACATGCCTAAAGTTAGCAAAGGTGAAGCCCTTGCACTATGGTGTTATCAATTGGATAAAAGGGAAAAAATATTATCAAGCCATTCTTTTAATCGAAGTGAAAATTTAATTTTAAAAAGATTAAAATTAAAAAAATATTCTTTATGTATTATTTTTTTACTCGATATTAGATTTTAAAAAGATAAAAAAAATATTACTATGACTATAATAATATTGTTTTTGAAAGAATGTGTTACAATAATCTAATAACTTAATTTATATTACCATTTTTAGTTACATAGACATGTTACTAAAGAAATTAAATGTAGTATATTATCAGTGAAACGGTCCAATTAGTTACGGTCAGCTTCTACAATAAGCTTTTTGAATTTTGAACACGTAAAATAAATTAAATATGTTTGCAATTAATTAGATTATAATGATAATTATGATCATCAAAAAGATTCTAATAATGATAATTTTGTTTAGTTTCCTATACCCACCTAATTTTAAGGTTCCATTCAAAGTTGCGTTATATCATTCAATAAAGGGTTTGATAAATTAAAGATTTAGCATATAGGAATTTTACATTAATTAACGTATATAATTATAATTTACGTGATAGTGTGGTATAACTGACCAATAATCATATTTTTAAGCATGCTCTTGTACATAGAAAAACATATATGTCGAAACTCTAACCGAGGATGATCACCGGGAATATTAAAATTCTTCTTCTTCTTTTTATTCAAAGAATATATATTCTTCTTCTTCGTTTTATTCAATGAATCCATCGAAAACTGGTCGTGCATTGCCCAGGATGCTGATCTTTTCCAATCTTCACGCTCAGCACAGGTATTACCATCTTTTCAAACAAAACAAAATAGAAATTAAGAAGAGCAAGCAACGCAAGTAAAACAAGCTATGGAAGTCCAATGAGAAGTGTTTTCCACTGCAAACAACCCACAAGAAAACTTTGAATGAGAGTCAAGTTAACTAAAACCATTGCCTAATTTCATACCCACGTGTTTCTTATAAATCCATCTCAAAACAACACTCAAGTCACACCACTTTCAACTAAAGAAACATCATTTGGAAACATCAATTATTCCACAAAACAAATAAAACCAAAATGGTCTCAAGTCAACCCAACAACTACTTTCCAAATTTCCCTCCTCCAACACCTTCCCACCCTTTCAATCCTCCACCACCACCTTCACATTTTTTCAACCCTCCACCACCGCCACCTCATTCATTTTCTTCTCCTCCTCCTCCTCCACCATTCCGATCACCACCGCCTCCGCCGCCGTCACCTAGTCCTCCTTTTTCTCCTCCACCCCCTAAGGTGCGGCCACCACCGCCGCCACGCCGTCCGATTCGTCCTCCACTGCCGCCACCACGCCCTATTCGTCCTCCACCCCTTCCTCCTGCCCCAGTTCCACCTTCACCCTCTCCGAACAACCCCACAATCATAATAGTCGTGGTTGTCTCACTTGGTGGCCTCGTGTTGCTCTCAATGCTTGCTTTTGCCCTATTCTGCTGCTTTCAAAGGAGGAAGAAGAAGAAGACGCAAGAAACCGAGGTAATTCACTTTGACGAGCACAAAAAGATAACTGAAACCACCGTGCCTGGTCCTTTTGGACGCAATACAGTAGTGGTAACAGTTGAAGATGATGTGCATATCGATGAAGAAATCAAGAAGAATGAGAAAGTTGGTCATGGTTTGCATGCAAAATCATCTTCACCTGAAGCAGATCAAGGTACTTCTAGCAGCATTGTTGAGGTTGCAACTACTACTCCTCTTGCACTTCAACACCATGAAGATCATCATCACCAGCCTCAAAACAAGCCCTGATTGAAAGAAGTACAACACACGGAGAATTGCATATTCTTGTTTAAAGACACATAACAAGGATCCAATAATTTCACTTCACTTCAATGAATAAATAAATATCCTTATTTTGTTCTTTTTTCATTTATTTTGGAATTGTTACAGTACCCTCAAATATAGAGAAGTTTTAATATATTCTTTTATATAAATTCATAAAAAAATCTTAAAAAAAAATAATTTAATTATAAAATAAATAATTCAAATTATATTTATAAAATAAAAAGTAAAATAAAATTATAGAGATTAAAATTATAAAATTTCAATAATGTTATAAAACATTAAAAAAAGAAAAGAATTAATAAATAGTAGAAATAAAAAATTATTAAAATTACAATATAGAAATTCAAAAATTTAAGGCAAAAAAATAAAAATATACTTAAAAAATAATTCAAATTAAAATATAAAAATTCAAATATTTTAAGTGAAAAGACAAAAATATACTTAAAAAATTATTAAAATTAAACTATTTAAATATATAATCATATTATTA